ACAAACAACAAACAAAACCTAATATACCCTCCCTGAGTGAGCCAAATGCTCCTTCATTTGTGTATCACACGCTCCCCTCCCAGACACTGCAGCTCACAGTAGGAGGGATTCAGCAACAGAAAAAGTGCTGTAAATACAGAAAGTAGAGGGGAGGACTAAGGGTGTTTAGGTGTTGATCAGCCTTTATAATGATTGGAGCACCTATAGAATAAAAAAATGGCAGCTGCATAATTTTATTTGCAGAACCTTTATTTTTAGTAAAAAGCACAAAACTCATTGTAGTGCACATAAACACAGCATAATAAGAATTTTTGGGAAAAGACCGAGATTGTTGAGTAAATAGATACAAAATATGTCAAGTCTAAAATTGAGTGTGAAGCATGAAAAAAATGATACTCCATACTGTCCATAGTGACGCATTAAAAACTTTTACAGCTCAAAAATCATGACCCTGGAATTATTCCCCTCAATCCAGCGTGCACAGATACCCAATATGTGTTATGCAACTGTTTATGTACATATGAGCATCTTGGGCATATGCATGTTTACCTATCTATGAGCCGGGGCCTGATTTTTAAGTATTATATTTCTTTACTTCATTACCTTAATTTTTTCATTTCACTTTTTTCTTACTATTTCAAGGGGCTGTCAAGCCCACATGTGATCGCATACTGCAGTTGATAGGTCAAATAAGCGGCTGCCAAAAAATATATAGATATATTTGTATACAATCCTGGCCACCAGAATTGGACAACTGCCATCCTTGAAGTGTTCGGTGCAGAGCACTAATGTGTTCATAAAAAAAGAAAAGAAAAAAGGTTCACCAATCCTCCACAGCTAAGCCATCTTGAAGGCCATTCTGCCATCCTGAAGTCCTACTTGCATTAAATTACAGTGAATACAGTCTGAAAACCGTCACGCTGATTAACACTTCGGGTTACCAGTTTTTGCACTTAAATCCCAGTTCAAGTAACAGGAGGTTAGCAAGCTGCATGCTTTTGAATTAGCAGCGGCAATGCTGATAGTCATGACTTTTGCAACATGTTTTTTCATTCCACTGTAGTGCAGCTTTGAGAAGGCAAAGCCTACATAAGAGTAACAATGCTGCTCTGGAATCAGGAGCAGTGCAGCACTGTTGCTTCAGCACAAGAAGCTGCATTAGGTGGACATCACTGGCAGGTGTAACAGGCATTTGTAGGTCTTCGCAGCGGTAACGGAAAACTATTAATGCAGATGCATATATAATTAGGTCCTGCAGCACATTTTCTTAAGGGAGAGCATAGTTCTATTTAAGATCCAATCATGCTATAAAGTTTAGCTGTGATGGCACGATGACTGGGACAGTTGTAACATAAGATCTCAGCAGAGTGTGTACGGTAATTAAGGAAGAGCAAACTTATTTCCAAATCAAGCAAATATATGCATTTGTCCACTTTGCATAACAATCATGTAATTCATAAATCATGACTTCCTGTCCTCCTGAATCCTGGAAATTGGTCAGATCTGCATGCCAAATATTCAGGTGAATAGCCCATTATACTTTGATTGCAATCCTTCTCTTCTGCCCTTTCCCCCATCACAGCTAGTACTGAAATTAACGGTCAGCGACCAGGAGGAGTGGTGATGACACTTATTCACGCATGCAACATCCTACACTGTGACAGCTCTTGGGCCCAGAAGCCATTCACTAACCCTAGCACAGTCACAAGGGAGAAGGTTACATGCTCCAGATAGTGCCTTCTACTGTGACTGAGGAAGGAGGAAGCACTGCCAAGTACAGGTGAAACTCGAATAATTAGAATATCGTGCAAAAGTAATTGCAGTAAGTGCTGCAAAAGGGGCCCAAACCAAGTACTGAGTACATATGCATGCTTGTACTTTTCAGAGGTCCGATATTGTTCTATGTACAATCCTTGTTTTATTGATTGCATGTAATAATCTACTTTTTTGAGGTTGTGGATTTGGGGTTCTTGGGGTTTTCATGAGCTGTAAGCCATAATCATCACAATTATGACAAATCACAGCTTGAATTATCTTGCTTTGCATGTAATGAGTCTATCTCATATATTAGTTTCACCTTTTAAGTTGCATTAGTGAAATAAATGAACTTTGCACGATATTCTAATTATTCGAGTTTCACCTGTATAAGTGGGTTTGGGGGTCATCTTTGCAAAAGACACGGTCACTTTGACCTGCATGAGCAAGGTGACAACTCTCTTTTAAGTGTCTTGGGAACAGTTCTGAGAGTAACCATGACAATATTTTTTTTCAAACTCTGCTGTGGAGCCAAAAAAAGAGCCCAACTATTGCTGTGCCATGCAAAAGCCTCACCCATATATGATGCTCTCTGGCTGCCTGAGTTTTTAGTTGCACACTGCCATGTCAGAGTGTACGGCATTAAAGTGAACCTGAACTCAAAAAGTGAACATTTGTTATGTTATGACATATCTAGAAATATTAATTGTGTCTAAGCAGTACCCTACAAAAGGTGACCTTACCTAAAGTTTTAGCTGAAAAACTAGCAGTGCACTTCCTCTACATCAAGCCTTATAGATGTATATGTGCAGTGTGAGATCATTGAAGGCACTCTGGTCTCTTACTGCTAGAGATTTGTAGAACAGTGCTACTTGTGCTTACTGGAGAGAAATCTGTACCTAAGGAGCTGCAGTGCAAGGATCTTCCTGCTTCTGTGTCATCCATATTGTGGACCTGTTATTGCTGCACCTCTCCTGCTGCCTCTTGAATATTCCTCCTCCAGTCATCAGTGGGCAATTCTGACACAAAGATGGCAGCTTTCAAACAGCAACACAGAGCAGAACAAGGCATAAGTCAGTAATGGGCGAGAGGAGCTGAAGAGCATGCAGACAATACTGGAGACTATCCATTTGCCCTCTGCTTGACTTTTTTGAGCACAGCTTCCACAGTACAGGTCCTCTTTTAAAAAGGTGAGCGTGACTACATCCACATAAAAAACGCACAGAACACTCAATGAGGTAAGGCTAAAAAAAAGGATGGTTGCAAAAAAAAAAAAAAAGACAGCAAACTTGTCCCATTTTTTCTAAATAAAAATTAAATTTCTACTAGAGATAAACAAAGAGCTTTACTTGCCCTACAAAGGAAAAAAAGATCAAGTAATAAGTACATAAAACTCCCTGCAAAGCACATTCATTCTGAAACTTGATTGACTGTTAATTAAGATGACTATCATCCATTTCTTTAGTTTCATTTTCTGATTCTGACATTTTAACAAAGATTTCCCCAAAACATTATGTGGCATAAGGCTACCACATGCAGCTCTAACAGACTTGAACGAAAGTCATTAAAGGAGAACTATGGGGTTAAGTTTTTTCCCCATAGTTCTCCTTAGGGTAATGGGAGGACACAAACCAGCGTCCTCCCGTCACCCTAGGCTCAGTATACCGCGAGCTGTAGCTCGGGGTATACTGAGACGCCGCAGTATACCGCGAGCAGCTGCTCGCGGTATACTGAGACGCCGCAGCTGAAGCAGATCCCGACAATTGTGCTGGGATTTGCCCAGCTGCGTGACTGACAGCTGGCTCTGCCTGTCTAGAGGCAGAGCCATCTGTACCTGCCCCCTCCCCCGTCCGTTCCGCCAGTCAGCGTTGGCGGATCGGAGCGGGGAGGGGGGAATCCAGCCCCTCCCCTGTCACGGCAGAGAGCTGTGACAGGATCGAGAGGTGAGCGAACGCCGGTATGTGTTCGCTCACCTCCCGATCTACTGAGCCGACCTGTGACAGTCTCATTGTCACAGGTCGGCTAGAACTATGAGGTGAGTGAAAATCACTCACCTAATAGTTCTCCTTTAAGTGGGGCATAAATGCAAGGTTAGAAATGTATGTCTGCTTCCCTAAAGTATCTTCTTCTTCTTTCCTGATGTATTCATCTGTCCCTCCAGCGGTGCGGCGTCATTCCGATCCAGCGCTGACTCCTCTCTTCCGATCCAGCGGTGTCTGCATGCGGGTGCATAGACTTACCTTGCGTCTCTGCTAGTCTCCCACACGAAAATCCGAACTGCGCATGCGCCCGCCCCAAGATGCTTTGCGGCCGCCCGAGCAGTTTCGGATTTTTGGGCGGGAGCGTGCGATGAAAACGCTAAGTGTAAACCGCTGTTAAAGCGGGGTTTTTTTTTGTTTTTTTAAAACTTTTTGCCTATATCTACTGCTTGCTAGTAGATATAGGCAAAAAAACTTCCCGTTTGAGCTGACAACCCAGTGCCTTTGGAGCACTAAAATCCAAACCACTGTCAGCCCTGAACCAGTGTCACCTGCTGGTCTACAGAACACAACCTCTTATTGTCATACTGAAAAACAAAGGCGTTCTGTAGTCCAGATATGAATACTTGGGCATAGCTGACAGTGCAGCAGCAGAATTGTGGTGGATTTCTGTCAAGATCGACAGGTATTTTTCTGTTGTCAAAACACCACAACATCTGGTCGCACTCCATATGTTGCTGGAAACTTCTTTTATTAGAAATCACACAGCTACACAAAGTCCTGCATCAGCTCTGCCCCTCTAATGAGTTTCACCCAATCCTGGCCTTAATCGTAGAGTATTTTCCTGTACTAGCACTATTAGTATATCAGTAAAAAGGCATTGGGGAAATGTGCATGTGTTGCAAGATGTACTAAATGCTTTTCTTAATATCTAGCTCAGGCATAGACTAAGTAGTTGCATCGGTTTTATAAAAAACTAATTTCTACCGATGTATAATCGCATTAAAAATCTGAATTCCGGGCCTCTGTGTGTATGTTTCTCTATTAAAGATGCTGCGAGTTGCACTGTTCATGACTGGCAGAAAAAAAAAGTGTTTGTGTTCTAATCTTTTGTTTTTACACTACAGTGGCTGATCTAGAATGCCACATTTGTGAAAAGCAAGGGAACAAAATAAATAAAAAAAGAGAAAAACAAAATATACTGCAGAAGGAAAATGTAAAGAAAATTCAGTTCACATGCAAACATGGAGCAAATAAACGACTCACCTTTTTTCATTGCCATAGGATTTCTGTGCAACTTTAGCATGAAGGATAAGTACGGTCTGATCGCCTCGCTCTTTTAAATAATTCCGCATTGCTTCCCTGAAACAAAAATTATGTGAATACATTTCCAGGATTTCTCAATACATTTCTGAAAAAAGGGGGAAGACAACAATAAAAAACAACATTTAACAGAAAGAATGTGTAACGGATTGCTAGAGGGCGCGCTGAATGTGCAGGTAATAGCTGTCTGTGGTTCAGCAGTAAACAGCATTGTGTAAAGGGGTAGTAGATGCAATCTACAGAGCTTTGCTGTGGTTTCCACCACCACCACCTTGTGCAGCTGAGTCTAACTAGGGTGCACACAGCTTTACTTCTGAACAGCTTTGTGGTTCCAAAGATTCTCACCATGTACAAAGATCTTCTCACATCAACTACCACAAAAATACCTGGTGATTATATTACTCTGACTTAGCTTGCTAATAAAACCACTTCAAGATTTCACAGTGACTAAAGCGAGAAATTCAGATTAACAATATTAGCAATATGAAGTGTTATTAGCATCGTTCTGGAAGCAACCTTGGATGCCTAGATTATAAACACCGGTAACCAAAAAGTATGTTCCCTGGAAGGCAGGCGGGTGATTCAATCAAAACACCACCAGACGTACTTAGGATGTGTGCACAAGATATTTCCTAAGGGCTAGTTCACACCAAGCGCGTTCCAGGAGCAGAGCAGTTACAGACCTGATCAAAACTGCGTCCAATGTATTCCAATGGTATTTTGGGCTCTAGTTCACACCGCAGCGTTCAGTTACAGAGCATGTAAAAAAACTGCAGCAAGCCCTATTTTACCTGCTCTGGAACGCATGCAAACGCACTGAAAGCTCATTTTAAACGTTTTTGCAAAAAGGGCCTTGAACGCGTCAAAAACGCGTCAAAACACACTGCACTGCGTGTGCAGAAACTCGTGCAGATCTGGTCTGCATTTGGTGTGAACAAGCCCTAAATGTGGGGAGGCATACGTGGATAAATCTGCAGAGTGTGCAATGACTAGTCTGTGATTATAACACACAGGAGCACTATTGTAACACAGATAAGGCATTACTTTCCCAATGGTACAATGCATCCGTGACCCTCAGCTAGGAGAACATAAAAGGATGGCACTAAAAATTCATTACAGTAGAATGCACAAGTCCTGGACAGACCCAACGTCTTACTAATGCATACAATTTTCAACTGATGGATAAACCCTACCTTTCCCAAACCCCTGATTTGGACAAGCAGCTCCAGCTTTTATTTATATTTGAGTAATTAAACAAACTACAATAAAAAAGCGCACACTGCTAAAGGTTTATAGAAAAAAAAAAAAACTCACGAAATCGTTCCTATATAGTGATTTGTATCTTACCAAAAAACTGAGGGGAACTCTGTGTAGACTAAACCTGCTTGGATGGCAACTGACTGCACACTCCCCGATTGGAGGGCCCATTCACAGTGTAGTACATTCATTGCACGGTTCCCTGTGATTAACGCATGCTACCATACAACGAATGCATTGCTTTTTTAGCTGCACTGCAACGCATGGTATTGGGGTACCGCCCATGTGGTGTGGTCGAGTGCATTGCAGCCAGAGGTGTGTTTCAGGTACCATTCAAATGAATGGCAACGCAGTAAGGTGTGTTGCTCACTACTATGTGTTAATTGCACAAAACCGTGTGATTAATTAAATGCACTGGTGTGAATGGGCCCTAAGGGTTGCAAAAAAGGCAGCTCTGAACTCTGAAGTTGGTTTACTGTTCTCAATCCTCCACATGTGGGACTCAGCACTGGTCAAACTTACGCTAAGAACTTAGACTATGAAACTGCATATGTACGTGATATGCTGTCACTATCACCCAGCCTAACATCTACTTGAAACATTTATGAAGATAAAAAAACAAAAACAAAAACTAGTACAGCAGTCACACTAGCTTTATGTAATTGTTTTGCTCATTTTTATAGCACCAACATATTCCATAGTGCTGACAAACCAGTCACATGCTGGCAAGATGCTGTGGAGCATGACGCATAGAAACCTTCATAGGCAGGGCACGCTCCATATGTGCTACAGAAATGTGTTATTTGTCTCGTGTACTCTTTAAAACACAATTTTCTCTGAAATAACTTGAAACTGACTAAAGTAATTGCCATCTAACATAGGTTAATCCACATTTAATAAAATCAGACTGTCTTTGATTTAACAAAATGTTAAATAATAAAACAAATAAAAATACCATGAACAAAAATGATGGGTCCATTAACGTAATCTGTTGTTGCGCAACCTTTAGGCAATGTTCACACCATGTCTGGAGCAGATCTGCAAATGCAGTGCGTTATTACTGTCATTTTACCGCGTTGCGGTGCTGTTTTTTCTTTCGCTTAAAATGGGTTTACAGGTGCAGTCCAGTGCGTTTGCATAAGTTTTTATGCATTTCCATGCGTTCTAGTGCATTCTAGACCAGGGACAATAAGGCAAACAGTATTGCTTTTGTCTGGACCGGAACAGACTGCGCTGGTGTAAACAGACACAAGAGCTACCATAGGGATACATTGGGATACTTTCTTGGTCCGGGAACAAACTGTTCTGGTGTGGACATTATTATAATAATACAGGATTTATATAGTGCCAACAGTTTGCACAGCGCTTTATAATATAAGGAAGACACACGTTCAATAATCGATTATAATCGATTATGTCGATTAGTTGTTGCAGCCCTAGATCCAGACATGGTGTGAACAAGCCCCTAGAGCAGGGGTCTCAAACTCGGTTTACTCAGGGGCCACTGGACAAATTTATTTCTCCCATGGGGGCTGCTTTCGAATTTCACACTTAGAAAATAAAATGCAACTATATGTGATACCAATGTTAATGTCTGTGTGTGTTTCTAATGTCGGTATGTATTTGTGATGGTTTCTTTGTATGCAATGTCAGTATAATTTTTTATGATGGTTTGTGTATTGTCAGGATTTCTGTGAGTGATGTCGGTACGTGTGTTAATGTTTCTGCGTGTGTCGTATCGGTATGTATACATGTGTATGGTTTTCCCTACGGGTTTTGATTTTAATCAATCATAGAGGGCCAACATATTTACACATTCACTCACACTTAACCAGAAATATACACATAGAAATACGCAACCCTAATGTGGCATTTACAAGTGGCAGCTGTCACCCATTCAAGTTAATGATCAGGTGACAGCCGCTGTATGTAAACGCCTGCACACCGCCAGTAATAGGATTACATGAGGTAAGGAATCGAGCACTATGCCTAGATGCATTAATCGATGCATCCAGGGATAGTGATCGTTTCCTAACCTCATGTAATCATTTCACATACCATTACATGCGGTGTGCAGGCGTTTACATGCAGCGGTTGTCACCTGATCATTAACTTGAATGGGTCACAGCTGCCACTTGTAAATGCAAAATTAGGGATTCCTGCTGCAGGAAACTGCAAACTCCTGACTCAGGAATCCCTAATTCCACCTAAACTTACAGGTGTGAATGGGGCCTAATACGTACATAAATACATATCTATAATAATACACTCCCCCCATTCCCCGACCCCCACAATAATACACTTCCTCGTCCACCTACAAAAAGAGCCCCATCACCTGCATATGTTTCTGTAGGGAGAAGGAGCTGAGGCACGATCCCTGGTGATCCAGTGGTGATTAGTAAGGTCTAGTGCAGACCTTACTAATCCATCCTTTCGGCCGTTGTTTAGTGAAGACGCTGGCCGAAAGGATCTGAATGCCGGCAGTGACAGGAGCAGCTCTATGGTCTGCATCTCGCAAGTCGGGTACGCGGTCCGTGACCACGTACCTGATTTGTCAGCTGGCAGCGAGCCACAGAGTACTGGTTCCAAGGCAGCAACTTGCCCGTGGGCCAGTACTTTGAGACCCCTGCCTTAGAGGCAATCATGGCAATTTATGTAGATCTTAATGAAACTTCTGCACCTGCCTGAATGATTACAAGATGAAATGTGATACTATAGTGAAAAGACGCATGTGACTCCAATTCAAAAAATTATGAAATCTCACTATGTTGCATTTATTACCTTTTCTAGGGGTACCAACAAATCTGTCCGTGCTCTTTAAGAATATCTTTCAGGGGACCTACGAGCTGCAGCCAGGATCCTGTCTCGGTCTCTGTAATTCAGGAGACGGGCCAAGAAGGGACGCGGGGGGGCCCCTGGCGGGGCTCTGCCCGTGGGCACCCTATGCGCCCGCTCCACCAGAAACGTAGGGGGCAATGTGTCCATGGCCAGAACACGCTTGAACAGGTGTTCAGCAAACTGAACCGCATCTGTACCCTCTTTGCCCTCTGGGATCCCCACAATGCGCACATTATTCCGCCGCATGCGGTTTTCAGCATCATCCACTTTTGCAGCCAGTGCCCGCGCGGTATGTTGCAAATCCGTAAGCGTGGCGCTATGTCCCTGCACTTCATCCTCCACATGCGATACCCTCGCCTCGGCAGTAGTGAGACGCGTGCGGATTTTATCTAGGTCATGGCGGATTAGAGTGCATTCTGCTGCCAGGTGGTCAATTTTGGCTGTAAGGGTAACCTGGCACCCCTCTATTGCTGCCAGGATCGCGGCGGTCCCCACTCCTCCTGGGGATTGCGACCTCGTGCCCCCCGAGTTAGAGATCCGGGACTGCTCACCACTCACCCCCTCCACGCCGGCTCCCTCCATGTCCAGCAGCGGCAGGAGAGGCCCAGGAACGAGCACAGGGGAATCCAAGATGGCGCCGGCCTTCCCCTTACCCTTTGCGTTCTGGGTGGATTTCCTTTGTGAAGCGGCACGTCTGCGGGACTTGGCGGACATAGATCTGCTCCCCGGTAAGTCCCGCACAGGAGAGAGGGTCAGGTGCTGCCAGATAGAGCGGTAGGCAGGAGAAGAACAGGATGTCACGAGCGGAGGCAACGGAGCTTCACAGGACACGTGCACTCAGGCTCACATCGCGGCCACGCCCCCCCTCTTTAAGAATATCTTTGCAGAATAACCAAAAAAAATCTTTTTTTTTTTACACACTCTTTGCTTTACTCTATGACATA